ATATATATATATATATATATATGTATGTATGTGTATATATATATATATATATATATATATGTGTGTATATATATGTATATGTTTTAAGATGTCGTCTTGACAATTCTTGTCATTGACCCTATAGCAGAATTTGCATAATATAAAGTAGTAATATCAGAATGTTGAATACAAGCAAAAAAAAAAAGGACAACAGCCGCTCTCCCGATCTGTATTTTGTGATTTTGTGACAGCGAAACAATGATCACCTGTGTTACACTGCACTGGTTTACATTTCCTCAGTTCTGAAATGGGGTTAGTGTGCCACTAATGGAATTCATAAAAATTAAATATCTCAAATACAAGACACATTGGCATAGAAACAGGCTCTGAGGCTCTGATACATGTGATTAACCAAAAGGTGTGTGTGTGGTGCACAATAAAAGTGTGCAAAAGGGAAAGCAAACATTATATTGCTACTGGCATTGACGCCTGTCTTCAGACTCTGTTCTTTGAAGATCACAGGCAGGATGAGCAAACAGACCTGGAGGTGACATGACTGGGAGGAGCCACTGGCAATTACACTGAAGTGTAGATATGTGTTTGTTTGTACTGAAGTATGTTTGCTCAGCTGATAGCACAAACAGCTATGTGTGTATTCAGTCAAACACTGACAGAGAAAAAGCATCAAGGACTTCTGATAGGGTTAACTGCTTCTATATACATTACAGCCCCTCTGTTTGGATGCAGGATAAAGAAGTGTGCTTGTAAATCAGGCCTGCTTCACAGATCACTTACCGTACAGAGGCTTGAGAAATCTGGTCTAGCAATTAACAGCATGTCCCAAAATCCCTCCTGCTGCAGTTTTTACACTGTGTACACCATACACAGTGTAAAAACAGAGGTTATTAATTGGCATCTATGATTCCATGATGAACCTTTAACATACATGATTAGGAACAAAATCTGCTTAGGAAACCTTTTCGCCTTTAGATGAAATTCACGATCAAGTAGATTCCAATTGAAATGGCTAGATTTCGCCCACAAAAATTGTGAGCACACCTTAAAGGAATAGTTTACCTAAAAAGTTCAAATTTGCTGAAAATTTACTCAGACCATCCAAGATGTAGAAGAGTTTATTTCTTCATCAGAACAGATTTGGCATTGTGATGTAGCATTCTATCACTTGCTCACCAGTGGATCCTCTGCAGTGAATGGGTGCCGTCAGAATGAGAGTCCAAACAGCTGATAAAAACATCACAATAATCCACAAGTAATCCACACCATCAATTAACATTTTGTGAAGGGAAAAGCAGCGTTTGTAAGACACAAATCCATCATTAAGATGTTTAATGTTTAATAATCCACAATAACCTTCCTTCAGTGAAAAAGCCTAAATAAAATAAAAAATCTTTACAGGAGAAAGCAATATTATGAATAAAATCCATTTTAATGATGGATTTATTTCTTACAAACGCACAGCTTTTCACTTCATAAGACGTTAATTGATGGACTGGAGTTGTGTGGATTACTTGTGGATTATTGTTATGTTTTTATCAGATGTTTGGACTTTTGTATGTATTATCATGAATATCATGTGGTTAAAAACTAAAAGCTAAATAGAAACGCACACCAGAGGATGATATTCTGTTTGCTTTCCTGCCTGCTATCATCAGCTTATTAATCAAATGCCTGATGCTTGCTGTGTTGGAAGCTGACACAACTCTTTAAACCCATCCCAGCCTCGCCAGCAACTCCATATGGAGCTGCTTCATTGGCCATGGCCTTTCATCGACATTTCCCACCAGAGCTGTTAATATCAGCCCTAACAAATCCTGACACACACCGACACAACCCAAATCCTCCTCATGCACTTCCGACTCACAATAACACCATCATCATTACCAGATTAATCCATATGGATTTATGGTTCCTATCTTTCAAAGCTCGTTGGAAAGCACTTTCCCCCTCCGGGTGCCAAAAGATGATGATAATCCAATGTTAGCACCAAATTAACTCACACCATGAAGCTTTCTTGTAATTATTGGTCCAGTTATCAGATTTAACACTGACTTGACTGGTTGAACGCAATCCATTTTATCCAAAACAAAACCCATCAGGACAAGAAGAAATTATATCAGTGTGATAGTGTGACAAAGGTGATCCATAACTCAGGTTGGCCGAGAAATTGGAAGAGGACTGTGTATATTTTGAGCATTTTTGTATATCTGTCACATTCTGACCGACTCTAACTGACTTCTGCCCACAGATGCTCAGCCCACAGAGGCAGAGACAGCCGTGTGGAACCAGGTTAGTGCCGTGCTGGAAGAGGCCCATGGGATACTGGCAGAGTTACAGTCTTACAATGGAGCAGGACAAGAAATAAGAGAGGTGGGGCTATTTTTGCATTTAATGAAAATAAACAGAACATGTCGTATCTAAAAGCTGCATGTTTTGAGATATCATGCATGTATAGCACAATTGTTGTGGGCAGTGCAAATCACTAATGAAAAATTAGATAAACAGACAAAAACTGTCATTTTGTCAAAAACTGTCACAAAGGCTGAATTAAACAAATGTAAAATAAAGTAAAACAGTAATATTGAAATGTCAATATGAAATAACTGTTTTCTATTTTAATATAGCCTACACTATCATTCAAGATTTTTAAAAATGTTTTTAAATGAAGTCTCTGATGCTCACAAAGGCTGCATTTATATGATCCAAAATACAGCGAAAAGATTAATATTGTGAAATATTTTTAGTTTAAAACAACTGTTTTCTATTTGAATATATTTAAAAATGTAATTTATTCCTGTGATGCAAAGCTACATTTTCAGCATCATTACTCCAGTCTTCAGTGTCACATGATCCTTCAGAAATCATTCTAATGATGAACATTTCTTATTATTATCAATGTTGAATACAGTTATGCTCCTTTATATTTCTGTGGAAACTGTGATACATTGTTTCTTTGTTTCTACACAAGATTCTTTCTCAATCAATATAAAGATAAAAAGGAACAGCATATATTTGAGATAGAAATCATTTGTAACGTTATAGGCTAAATGTCTTTTTTCACCTTTGACCAACTTAATGCATCCTCACTGAATAAAAGTATTAATTTCTTTAATTAAAAGACATTAATTTCTTTAAAACTGCATTAACACTGCATATGAAATGTCTCTCTGTAATACTTAATTGAATAATACCACTGAGTGATCATATGTTTTTTTTATAATGACTGATAAAGTGGATATTTCACCGTCATACATGACGATGCACTGATGCTACTTTCATGCAAGGTGAGCATAAAATCTTTGATAGATGACTAGAAGCTCGGAAGTGTCCAGTTAAAGCAAACCGAACACTGCAGCTAAAAACTAATCCAAAGTAACTTTTTAAATTAAATCAAAAGATGAAAAAGAATAGCATTTATTTGAAATAGAAGTCATTTGTAACATTATAAATGTCTTTGCGTTCACCTTTGACCAATTTAATGCATTCTTGCTGAATAAAAGTATTAATTTTTTTCAAATATGTAACGGTAGTGTTTTTCACCCCTTTTTTTAAATTTAGTGAAACAGAGTTTTTTGTCTGGGTTACAAAACCCTAACTAGAGTAATAGTGTTGCTTACCATAGAAAGATCCACTGATATTTACTCATCCTGAGCCAGGAGTCAATTCACCTAGGCATTATAAAGCATCAGGTTTGAGCAGTTTTCAATCATTCTGGTCCATAAACAGCAAATGTGCAGTAGTTATTCAGCTGTGAATGTTTCACACTGCTGAATAAATCGCACAATGTAACTTAATTTAAAGGCTACAGATGACCTTTAGTTTATAGTCAGTGTAAATGAAGGTTGTGGTTTCAGTTGCTCTCGCTCGTCCTTCTCTCCAGGCGATCCAGAACCCCAATGACCTCCAGCTGCAGGAGAAAGCCTGGAATGCAGTCTGCCCCCTAGTGGCCAAGCTCAAGAGATTCTACGAATTTTCTCTCAGGCTAGGTAAGTGGGTGGCCATTGTTTTCCAATTGTCTTCTTTTATAGTTATGTAATGGGCCTTGTGAGTTCGAGCCGTCCAACGCGCTGACCGTGCGTACAACGAGTGCTGCAAGCATCCGTTTCTGTCCTCCTCTGCAGCTGACCTCGTAAAGAGTTGGCATGGCAACCGCGGCAGCAGAGCGTAGAGGAGGCTGCGTTTCTGCCTCCCATGCACGCTGACAATTCAGTATACGGTTTGCAATCGTCGTTCAGCTGCCTCTTTTTCACAGCAGTGCTGACTAGTGAAAAGACGCAGATCTCTGGCCAGACAGATAACATGCAGATAAGCTTTTTCCTGCCAAGGTATGGCATCGCAGTGACTCATGAGAATAAAAGGCCCCACCCTCCTCAACACATCCTGCTATCCGCAATATCTGGTCCCCGGCTGATAGAGTCAGGTTTCTCGGTAGGCCTCCAGATAAAACATATCAGCTTCTTATTTATAGTAGGGCTGCTGCATATTTGATGAGAGGAAAGGATAGCTCCTCTGGAGACATGCTTAGGCATACTAATGACATTCAGACATGGCTTAGCTCTGACGGTGAAGCTGTACAGTACGTCTTCTAGTCGCCAAACAGGAAACAGCTTTAAACAGTACAGCACAGACCTGCAGCATGGATTCACTCTGATAACATTAATGCAGTGATAATATTAATGAAACTGCATTAGCACTACTTATGAAATGTCTCTCTGGAATACTTGATTCAATGCCATCGAGTGGTTATATATTTTTTTGTATAAGGATGATTAAACTGGATATTTCACTGTCAGACATGACAATATCCTGATGCTGCTTTCATAGCTGTCATATATTGTAATATAGCCTAGGAGAATGTAAATATTTATTGCAATCATTGATAGATGACTAGAATCTCAGAAATATCCAGTTAAAGCAAACACTGAAACTAAACCATAGAAAAAGTAACTTGGCTGTATTTACAATACAATAGAGATATAAGAATAATAATAAAAAAGAAAGAATACATTATTTATTTATTTTATTTAAAACGTTATTCCTGTGATTGCAAAACTGAATTTTCTATAACAACAACAACAACAATAATAATGATATAATGGGCTATTTTTTAAAAGGAAGTTAAAGAGATAATTAATTTAAACTTTAATCAATATTTCACAATCATATTTATAAATTTGGTAAGCCACCATATAATAACTGGGATAACGTACAGGCAGCTAGTCATTTTATTCCCTATTAATACACTGGTTTGGTGTTCGGTTATTAAATGAGTTTTAAAAGCAGCCAGAAACATGGTCGTATACTGCAGTTGGAAGTCATTAATGCTTGAATCAGCTGCGGCTTCCAACGTTCTCTAGTATCCAGGCAACACTGACGGGATCACAGGTTCTTATGGCTTATGATAAATTGCAGCAATTACAAAAATACAAAAGAGAGGCGTTAGAGGCAAATACAATGGTAACTGTTGTGCTGGTAACCATGGAGATCAAATACACATATTGCAGTGCTGCGCTTTTGATACATTATGCAGGTATGCCATGTGGATTACAAATCAGATTAAAGGCCAGAGGTGTGGGGGGAAAACAGATGATAAAAGGCTTCAAAAATCTTGAGGGACGATAACAGCATTCACAGTGAATTAATTTGAAAAGACAAATTGCTACAGAGAAATGACTATAAACTGTAAGAGACAATAAAATCTGTAATCATTGTGTGTTTGCAGAGAACGCCCTGCGCAGTCTTTTGGAGGCCCTCACTAGCCCACCTTACGCTCCCATGCAGCATCTGGAGAGAGAGCAGGCCCTCGCCAAACAGTTTGCAGAGATCCTACACTTCACTCTCAGCTTTGATGAGCTCAAGGTGAGCATTTCTCACACATTACTCACTTTGATTTCATGTGGCATGAGCTCAGCTAAAATATTCAGATCTGCACTCAGTCAAGCCTCTCACATTGAAGTTCTTAGAGAGTCACGTCGAGTAAAATGTCTAAATGGCAACACTGTTAGCTGGTCTCTGTCTAAAGTGCACCCTTGAGAATGGGCATCTAGGAAATAAATCTTCACGGTGAGGTGTGATTTGCCACAACATTCCTCTCACCACTTGAAGTCGGTAGTCTCCATAATAATTTATACTGAAGGCGCTTTTGACATTTCTAAATCCTGTCTTTACTAGATGACAAATCCAGCCATACAGAATGACTTTAGTTACTATAGGAGGACCATCAGTAGGAATCGGCTGAACAACCAGCAGGTAAGTTCACAATCTGCTGAAATTGATACATAATTTGGTGTAGAAAACATTTTTTACTCAGAAAATGCTAGCAAGTTTCACAAACAGTTCAAAGAAATGGCAAGTCAACACACTGAATTAAACATGAAATTCTGAAGTAGAAAAACTGAAATAGTATTTCTTGTTTAGGAGCATTCACTCTGACAAAAGAAGTCATTCATTTTCATTTAAAGTTGGCGACTTCATTTCAATGACAAAGTTCAAATGCAGACAGTAAAGCTCATGTGATCTGCCTCATGACGCAGTTTTATAGTGTAATGCATGTATTAGCAGCCAACAGTCTGAGCTATTCATTGTTAGTGTGCATGCCCCTACAAGTAAACGCATCAAAGTTATTATAATTGACTGAGCAGAGAGCACATTTGTATGGGAAGGTTAATGTGTTACTTAAGAAAAAGCTTAATCATCTGGCAACCAATATTTTACATTTGCATTACAGTTAGAAGCTGAGAATGAAGTGAATAATGAAATGGCCAATCGGATGTCGCTCTTCTACGCCGAAGCCACACCCATGCTCAAAACTCTGAGCAATGCCACGACTAAGTTTGTGTCGGAGGTAATTCATGATTTCACCCAATCTTCTGCAAATGTGGGATAGTTCGAAAATACTTATCATCATGTTGTTCCAAACCTGTGAGTTGCTTTCTTCTGTTGAACACAAAAGAAGATATTTGAAAGAATATTGCTAACCAAACAGTTGATGGTAGCCATTGACTTCCATAGTATTTTTTCCATACTAAAAGAAGTCAGTGGTAAATGATGACAGAATTTTCATTTTTGGGTGAACTATCCCTTTAATGAAGAGTAGCCTACATATAACCAAACATTTGACTTCCTATGAATTGGAGAAAACAGAAATGTTGTCACCCTCTAGAGGCTCATACCGGTGTTAATTTCTATGCATGTTGCAGAACAAGACTTTGCCAATTGAAGACACCACAGATTGCCTGAGCACTATGGCCTGCGTGTGCCGTGTCATGTTGGAGACTCCGTAAGTTCATCTGATTCAACATCTTTTCAATAAAACATTGTGATTATTTGAACATTTATTAATGTCAATTATCCAGAATACATTCAATTTTGCTTAAAGTGATCACTATTTCCTGTCCAAAGGGAGTACCGGTGTCGTTTTACTAACACAGACACCATGCTGTTCTGCATGCGTGTGATGGTGGGCGTCATCATCCTTTATGACCATGTTCATCCAGTGGGTGCCTTTGCCAAGACCTCCAAGATTGATGTAAGAACACTTTATTAGTTTCAGGTACACTGGACCCAAAAAGTATTTGGACACTTCAGCCACACCTAAACTATATGAATGTCATTGGATTATAACAAAATATCAAATTCAGTGTCATTTATTTTTAGCAAAATATTTCACATTATATAGTCACATTGTACTGTTTAAAAAAAGATATCTAGACACTTTCTGGATGTCAGATGTTAGTGGATCACATTCACAGTTAATGTGATGAACTGTGAGAATTTGGAAGAAATTATGTCATATATTCACTTAAAATCACCATGAGACTAGTTGGTTTATAGTCAAACTGCAAAACTGGTTTGTAAAAGTGATGCCTAGTATAATTAGTTTGCACATACTTTTTATCTGATAATGTCTAATGCAGTGCAATTAATACATTTAAATGTGGCTAAATTGTCTACAGGCAAACGCAACTGCTCCATGTTTTTGTGAATATTATATAACTGAACTGCTTTCTTAAAGGCACAGTTCACCCTGAAATAATTTAATTTACTCACCCTCATGTTGTTCCAAACCTGTATGACTTTATTTCTTCTGCAGAAATAAATGTTAGACAGATTATCCACTCTTTTCCATATAATGAAAGTGAATGGGGACTGCTTAAAATATGTTCACCTTTACCAAAAATGATTCTGAAGAATGGCCATAGTTTTATTATAGCTATTGTGTGTTATAGTAAAAAAAGTTTAAAATAAATAAGATTATTTTTTTTATGTTTTTTTAAATAAGTCTCTTATGCTCACCAAGACTGCATATATTTGCTCAAGGTGGCATTTATCTGATTACTGTAATATTATGTAATAACAGTTAAACAAAACGGTAATATTGTGAAAATATTATTACAATTTTATTCATGTAGTGGTAAAGCTGAATTTTCAGCATCATTATTTCAACCTTCAGTGTTACATGACCCTTCAGAAATCATTCTGATATGCTGATTTTCAATGTTGAAAATGTTTTATTTTTTACATTTCTTTCTCAGGATTATTTGATAAACAAAATGTTCAGTGAACAGCATTATTTGCAATGTAAGTCTTTTGTAACATTATAAATGTCTTTACATTAAAAAAGTAGCGTCTCGTGGTTTCCACAATAATATTAAAGCAGCATAACTGTTTTCAACATTGTAAATAAGAACCATTGTTTATTAGAGCATAAAAAGACATGTATCTTGAGCAGCAAATCAGCACATTATAATGATTTCTGAAGGACCATGTGACACTGAAGACTGGGGAAATGATGCTGAAAATTCCGCTTTGCAATCACAGGAATAAATTACATTTGAACATATATTAAAATAGAAAACAGCTGCTTTAAATTGTATTAACATTTCACAATATTACTAGTTTTACTGTATTTTTGATCAAATAAATGCAGCACTGGTGAGACGAAGAGACTTTTTTTTTTTTAAACTTCAAAAAAAAAAAAAAGACAGATTTCACACAGTTCACCACACAAAAGCTATTGTGTGACTTGTAGCACACAGGTCATGTGGCCTACTTTTATGGTGTTTATTTGTCATATGGGACCTATTTGTTCATTTTATAGAAAAGAGAAGCCTGGGTGGTTCTACCTAGTATCTCCACACATTGTAGTACTTCTAAATCTAGAGCAGCGCTAGAGGGGTTTGTGGTTGTTCACGTATGCTTTTTTGGGTGTGTGGGTGGGCGTCCATGATCACAGTCAGGGGTGAGGGACAGAAAGGGGTGACCTTTCTTTTAAAGCTGTATTTTTGCATGCATGTGTGTGTGTGTGTGCGCCTGTGTTTGCAGATGAAGGGCTGCATCAAGGTGTTGAAAGAGCAGCCTTCGAACAGCGTGGAGGGACTGTTGAATGCACTGAGGTGAGTGTGCAGTACAACACTTCCCAACTGTAAATGGATAAAAAAAAACAAAAATGTGCAGAACATGCATGACCTGAAAGCTTTTCTTTCTTTCATCCAGGTATACAACAAGACATTTAAATGATGACAGCACCTCTAAACAAATCAGGGCCCTGCTTCAATGAGAGCGAGAAAGAGACTGACTGTCAGAGAACAAACGACGGTGGCTGGCGAACCTCTGAAGCCTGTTTGTTTACAAGAGCAAAATGCAACTTGATCTCAAATTAAATAAGATATTCTAGAAAAGAGAAAGGAATATGAAAATAAATAAATATATATATATATATAGATTGTTGATGGTTCATCATCGTGTGTCATTTTATAAAAGCAGGGAAAATAAATATATATATATATATATATGTGTATATTAAAATTCAAAAAGCAAACAAAACTACCCGATACAAATATAAAGGTCTTACAAAAACATATTAAACTTTTAGGAACTGAATTAAAACGTGATAGCTAAAACCACCAACAAAATGGTTAATATTCCAAGTTATGTCTGAGAGTATTTTTGCACACTTGAAAAGGAATCCCACTTCACAGGAAACACTTTAACGTGGCTTGAAACTGTGTATAGTTCAGATCCATTTTCATGCATTTAGACTCGATTTGATTTGTAACGCCTTTGCCTCATAATCCTCAATATGCTCCACCCAGTGCATTCTGGGAATCGTGGGTTTCCTGATAAAACTGCAGTCCATGGCATTTCCTCTTTGGCACAAAGTCTGTTACAGAATAAATGTAAAGATCACATACTTGAGACACATCTCAAATGCGTTCTATAAGCATCCAGCTGTATATATTCGGAAAGCACAGGATAGTTTTGTAAAGAAATGAAGCGTTTAGTGAAACGTCTTCACTAGTGCTGTACAGCAATACTCTACCGAGGCGACAACTGCAAACACGATCATTTGAAATGCCTTCATACCAATGTAAGAGATGTCGGATAACGCTAACAACTCGTCTGTGGAGGTTAAAGGCCAGTTGTAGATATCATGAGACGAACAATGCTTTAAATAGCTTTTTTTTTTTGCTCTTGTAAAGTTTGGATGCTAAACGGAGTGAGTAAGCCATGAAACTGTAATTCAGACGCAAACACGCATTCTGCCCTGTGCCATAGCTGCTTCCCTTACCACTGCGTCTCATTCAGAGTCCACATATTACAAACATCATCTGTAGAAAGTGAGGAACAAATAAATAAACCAAATCACACCATTGTGAACGACAACACGGCGTTGTGGATTTGCTTTCTTCTGTATCCAAAAGCAAATCATTGCCAAATGAGACTGCGACATAGCCTTTTAGATAAATAGAAGTGATGCGCTGTGTGACGTCCGAGCGATTCGTTTTGTCATGAACGCAGTCTAAATCTTGAGATACATTATACACACTCAGAAAACAACAGACTTGAAGCTGCAAAACCCTTGGTGTAAATAAGAGGAGTTTTCTTGTGGAATCTTATGAGGCCTAAACAAATGTTCAGTAGAGATCCTTTCTGTTAGAGTTACAGAATTAAAAAAAAGAAAAAGAAACAAAGATGTGGGTTGAAAAACAAAAGAATGACTCAAAAAGATTACCGCGACAAACGCAGTGCTGTATTTTGGGTGTCTCTCGCCATTAGTCGAACTTGATTTGATCTTCTAATACGTTTTCTATATGGAGTTCTGTTGCGAAACAAAAGCTCTGTATGAATATTTAGATGGCATGCTGTAAAAGTTCAGACAAGACTGTAAATACGGTGTTTTTATTCATTTTTAATTGTTCGGTGAATCTGAATTGGGTATGTGTTGTCTCTAAGAAAACCATGCGTTTTGGCTTGGACCATCGGACTTGCCGTAGACATTTGTTCCAGATCTTCAACTTCATATCAGCGGGGAATTCAAACAGGGCAGGGAGGAGGGTGGGGGGACGGGCTGTCCATTTGCTTGTTATTTTGTACATTTTGTGCAAAAAATAAACTTGTCATTTACTACATTCAACATGGCGTTTTGTCATCGACTTGAGCTGCTCCCTCAGGCTATTCTTCTCATAAAAGGTTATTTCACCTTCAGCATCAAATGAAGCACATAATGTATTTCTAAGGTTGAATGAGGTCAGTCTTCTGGATAATGAAGCTTTGACTCACACTGACTGAATGAGTTGCTGTCCATGGTGCTGTTTTCTGAGCACACTACTACAACACTAAAGCGAATCACTGCAAAGACAGTCTATTTCATTACCAGTTCAGAGAATGAATGCCATCCCAAATTAAATACAATCATGTCATGTATTTGTAACAAAACACTTATAGAAGCATTATATATTCATGTTTATATTCATGACCCGCAAGGTCAGATATATTATTAAATCTTTACCCATTACATTTTGTGAAAATAATTGACCATTCAAATTTTTGAGGTCAGCAAATTTTTTTTTTATGAAATTAATACTTTTAATTAGCAAGGATGCTTTAAACTCATTCAACGTGACAGTAAAGACATTTTGTCATGTTACATAACTTTACAAATGATTTCTATCTCAAATCAGTGCTGTTCTTTTGAAGAATACTGAAAATAGTATCATAGTTTTCACAAAATTATTAAGCAGCACAACCGTTTTCAACATTCATAATTTAAAAATAAATAATTAATCTCTTAAGATTTCTGAAGATTCATGTGACACTGAAGACTGGAGTAATGAAGCTGAAGATTCATCTTTGCCATTATTCAGCTTAAAAAAAATCATTTAATAATTTTTATAATATTTTGTTAATAAAATACTATAATAAATGCACTCCTAAGAGACTCAAAAACATGAAAAAAAACTTTACTGTTCCCAAACTTTTCAATAGTAGTATATACTGAAAAAAGTTTTAAAACATACAGTCATAATATATTTTCACTCAAAAAATATGATTCAACAAACAAGAAATATAACAAAATGAATAAGAATTATTTTAGGACCTAGATGATCATTTTGCACACAGATTTGTGGAATCCACGCTACTGCTGGTGTATTTAAGCAAAAAAACAAAAAAAACAAAGGACAAACCAAACACTGATGCAATCTGAAATGTATACTATTTTTGTATTTCAACTTACAAGTCAAATGATTATGCTAACAATATTATATAGAGGTAACACTTTAGAGTAGGGAACACTAACCAGTTGCTTGCTAGCATGCATATTACTAGCATATTGGCTGTTTATTAGTAACCTACTTATAAAGCACATATTAATGCGTTATTTTTATTTATTTATTTAGTAATTTAGCAGAAGCTTTTATCCAAAGCAAGCAATTGTCCAATGAGGACAACAGAAGCAATTAATTGTAGTATTAAAACAACTAAAAACAGGTCCAAAACTAAAAGCTAAAACTTTATAAATACTACAACTTACAACAACTTACTTACACATAGTAAGACATGGTTATAAAAATTGAAACAGAAGTGAAACTAGTAGGAATTTTATTCTATTATTAATCATTTATTCTGCATGACTATATTTTAGATGCCTTATCGCTACCCCTACCTACACATAACCACTACAACAACTACCTTACTATAGTATGAGCAGCAAATTAGGAGTTTGCTGAGGGAAAACTGCAATGTGCAAGTGTTTTCTCTACACCTGGTTTTCAGTAGACAAAAAGAGCTTAATGTAAAGGTATTGTTCTCCTCTTGGACTAACACTAGTATGTCGGTATTTTGGCAGTAGCAAGAATTTAACCTGTTACGCTATTTCCAAAAACATGACTTTTTAATGCAGCACTAAATCTCAGCAACAGTGTATTTAAGTTTTACATCCAACCACAAGGGGGCAGCAACGTACTAAAATTGAGCCGTCTTGTCTATATTCACAGCCCTACAGTATCAAGGGGCCCTAACATTTTTATAGCTTCATTTAAGCTCTTATTAAAACATTTACACCCACATATTTCATGTGTACATAAATGTTACCACGTCTTTACAGAAGCCCCAGTGAGTCTGAGGAAGGTCTGGCTGATATTAGTGCAGAGAAAGCTTTAGTAATCAGGGACAAAAGAACAACAGGAGATGAGAGATGACGTGCGCAGTTATTATTGGAAAGCTGTGAAAAGAGCTACGACAAAGTGGACACACATGATTCATACACAGGCCTTTGTAAAAATTCAGAAAAAAATATATAGAAGAAAAGAACTGCACAATGTTTTTATACCAAAAACGCACCAGGTAACAAGTTGTGTTCATATTTGTGTTGTTGTGACACATTAACCTAATTAAGTAATGACACTAATAATGATTATGTCTAATGATTTAACCACTTGGTTCTTGAACGCACCCTTAATGTAATTACAATCGAACAAACTAAAGCTCACTAGTCATCGGCACTGCATTATTCATAGGTGGATTAAATGTTTATTGCAGCCCTTTGTACATTCAAGACTCTCATCCATCTGAAAATAAATATTTTATCAGTGACTGATTATCCTGTCATAAACCGAGCTGACATGTCTACACACGTCCAGTGCTGACCCAGTACAGATGCAGGCAGTCCATCATCTCACATCTGTACATCGAGACTCTGAGAAAGCTGTATCATCCTTCCTGAAGATGACGCCTGTTGGACTGGGAGCTATGTATTTTTGAGTGTTTTCCAGGTAGATTCAGGATTAGCTAGTCCGTTGGCAGGTGAACAAACCGGCCCAACATGAACCAGGTCGTTCCACCCCTGACATCAAGGGAAAAACAAGGAATAGAGGGAAGTAAAGTGTGAGATTTTCTATCTGGAGGGCATGGACCCTGTGACAGTTACCGGCTGTGTTTTACAACAGGGGCCCTTAGGGGTTGATGGAAGTGTGCGTCTGTCTCATTTAACTCCGTTTGATTAGCCTGCTTTATCAGTACACTCCCATAACTCCCAGTCTAGGTAACAATGTAGTTGTTGTGCGTATCCTTTTTCTATTGTTCGAGGGAAATCTTGGCACTGGGCTGTAATGAAGTGTGGTTATATTCCCCAACCGTCGTCACCTCCACCTGCCCTGTCCACACCCACACCAACTGTAACAACAGAGCGTTACACAGCGCTTTATCAGAGCCAAAACATTAACATGTACGCTTGATTGTGTCTATAAGGAAACAAGGTAAAAGTAATTTTAAATATTTTAAAAATGATTAAGTATTTAAAAATGACTAAGTAAAAACACAGTAG